GCCCTGTATATAGTTGTAGGTTAAATTGTTATTGGTGTTAAATCCTATTTGGGAATGAAAATTGATTCGTTTTTCTTTATTTTTTGTTTTCTCTTATTCTAATTGAATTGCGCGTGCTCTATGCCTAAGAATGATACGGCTTTGCTAAATTTGGCTTTTAAAAATGCGCGCGTTGAACACTGAGAAAGGGTACTGGCAAAGTCTTTACACTTTCTGCCGACAAGTAGTACCAGTTGCCAAACACACTTCGCTCGCTTCGTATGGTTCGAGAAAATAGATCCGTGGTTTTTCGTTTGGCGCAACCGGGTAAATCAAGACGGTTTCGTTTCACTCCTACGCATGGGACCTGAACTTCATGATTGAGCTGGCCAACTGAGTGGAGTTTGGAAGTAGAGCAAGGTAAGGTGAAAAAATATCCGTTTCAGTTTCGTTATCTTTCAATTTCATTTTGAAATCTTTCATCGATTACCATTATATCAGCAACCTGTGGATTTTCTAGTTTTAATTGCGCACAACGTGCATTGAGAAAGATCAGCAATTTTCGAAATTATGGGACCATTATCAACTCAACACGAGCAGAAACAGCAACGGTACGTACACAGTCAATATTCCATTTAAGGATAAACTACAACAACTAGGGATCCCAAGATAAGGAGCAGCTACACGACTACTGCAGCTGAAGAAGCGATTTTAAAAAGATCTCAACTTGAAGAAAAATACACTCAATTTATGGAAGAATGCATGAAACTCAATAATGCTCGCAGCTAAACAGTAGCCATTCCTCACCAGCCTGTAATAAAAGAATCCAGCACAACAACAAAATTGAGAGTAGTATGATGCATTGTACTCAGGCCCGAAACTTCAGCAGGAATTGCCAGACATATTACTTCGGTGGAGAAGACATAAAATTGTATTGACAGCAGATGTCGAGAAAATGTATCGGCAAATTAAAATTCACCCAGACGACCAAAAATATCAAACAATTCTATGGAGATTCGGATCAAATGAAGCAATACAAGAATACACGCTAACGACAGTTACATATGGAAACACCTCAGCCCCATACTTGACCATTAGAACGTTACAGCAACTGAAAAGTGTAAAATATCATGAGGAAAACCACCTATTTAAAATATTATTTCTTCAAATATTATCTTTTTGAAGCGTTTCCTATAGAAAAGCAAATGGTGAATGTTGCAACCATGTATGCGCTGTGAAGTATTTAGGAACGGGGCGCGCCACAGGAAAAGCGAAGGTACCGAAGGCGAAATAGGAAATGAGAGATTAGAGAAGAAGCTTGTCCCTTAGACCGCTGGTCCGCCATTGTTCATTATTCTATTTTTATTTTGTATTAAACTGATTGTTCAATCCAATTTGTGATTAGTTTGTTGTGTGTCATAAGGAGCCTTACAGGTCAGTTGAATAAATGTTATTTGTTTTTGAGAGTTCAATTTATACACGTATTTTTTTTTCAGGGACCTCAGTACCTGCTGGTGGAACTGGCTAACTAACCAAAAACTCTTCAATATTGAATATAGGTAGTGTTGATTGAATGTGGTGTGTGAAATTAAAGTTTTAACACAAGGACAAAGGACGGCAACTAATTTAAACTTTTTTTGACTCACAATTATTATTTAAATGACACAGTATGTTTTGATTTTTGAGAAATGTTAGATCGAGGGTTCCTCTGCCGTGCTCTTTCCCCTCGTGAGTTCCAGGTTGAGAACGGTACGATTTTCTAATAATAAATTAGACGTTTCACACATTTTTCGTTTCTTTCACATATCACAACTTCCCTTAAATTTTCAAAGTTTGCTATGTCGGGCGCATGTCAACTAGGTAAAATTGAGTAAGTTTCGACAACGTAGGTCCTATTTGTTTTTCATTTCGTTTTCCAGAAATTTTGTTAAAAAAAGAGATAATAAAAATTCACACAGTTCAATCTTGCTGAACGAACTCGGGTATGCTATACTACAACTATAAATCATTTTGCTTGATTCTAAAATCATCACCCAATAATAACTAACAACTGTCAGACTTTCTATCGAATATTTGTAAACTCTTTTTTTTTGCAAACGGCACCAGGGCCACGTCATATTCCAGTATAATGTTGATAATTACGCCAAAGCCCGAGGCGACAATTTTCTCCATGGGTTTAGTAGATTTCTTATTTAAGTATCATTAAGCATGTATGTCACACATGTAAAAACCATTATTTAATAACCATTAAATTTTGTTTTTTTACGCTCAACCTAATTACTTCAAATGGGAATAATATATTTAATCATTAAAATGCATAAATTATTATTATTATATAATATTGATTAGACATTGTAATGAACTTTGTCGCAGTTAATTTTTGACAAAAAGTGAATTTTTCATTATTTACTACTGACAAAGATATAGAGGATCATTTTGTTTTTACACCCTCACTCCACCAATAAAATTTTTACTGTTTTCCGTAGTTAGCTCAAACTTGTAAAGAGAGAATGAGCATCAGAAATATCAGATAGGACTAGTTTTATAAAGTATCGATTTGAAGTTAAGAGATGTTGAAGGATTTCTCAGGATTGGCCCAAGAATCTATACATTTACTGAATCCATCATAAACAAACTTATGCCTAAATCAACTCCCTTAGCCTGAATAATTAAGCATCTCTAATGAAACTTTCTACTATGCAATCTTTATGTTTTCCTAATATCCACATCAACAATTCATCAACCGAAAAATTATTATAAAATGATTGGCTTTGTGATGGGCAAAAGAAATTTTAATGATAATTATAGCAAAGTGAATTAGCAACAATGTATGGAACCGTTGAATCCGTGTTCGAGTTAAATTACTAGAGGCAACTAAACTTTCTACAAACCGAAAAACAACGAAAGTATAGGGTCGGACTAATCGATTTTTGTTAGACAAAGTATTTTATTTTGCTACTTAAATGTGAATTATTTTGCGTAGAAACGTTCAATAAAGATTGATAGATAAGATACTGAAATGTATCATGGTTGGCTTAGAGAGTAGGATATGCATAACAAAAAAGTAATTAAACAAGATCATGATTCGAATGAAAAACTGCAAAACTCCTTTCTATATGGGTAATTAAATATAAGTATCAAACAAATATCTTCAGGCCTTTGATAAAGTGATTTGTAACATTAATCTGAATTTAAGATTCTTGATTTAACGGTCCTGTTTTGAGCGTGCAAAATTTGTTATATTAACAATTGGCTGATCCAATAGCGAAATCCAAATTACAATTATCTTGCTTTATTCATAAATCATGTATACACTTTCACTGGGTGAGTAACTTTATAGATTATAAGTTTGTATAACAGTCTAGCTCGGTCGTTAATTAAGTGTGCATCAACTCATCAGAAACAGATGGGAAAATATGGTGTTTTTATTTGTTATCCGAACGATCTAGAAGCGAAGTAGGTGTTCAATTAAAATAATTAAGTTTATTTTTTTTTTCACAGCAGATTTCCCCAGTCAAAAAGATGATTGACTTGAACAACTAGAATTCGTAATTAAATCCATTCGGCCAATAATGCAAATTTTTAGTTGTTTAAGTTTCAAAAGTGAAAACGCAATTGTTGTTGTTTTCGTATAGGAATGGTAAAATTTATCATATTGGAAGATTGAGAGAGCTGTAATAGTGAGGAAAACCACCTATTTGAAATATTATTTCTTCAAATCTTAATTTTTTTGGTAAATGTTGCAACCATGTATGCGCTGGCAAGTAGGGGCGAGTGTAGAGGCGCCTCACAAAAAGGTACCGAAGGGTAGAGAGAGATTTTTTTATAACATGTGCATTGTTCATGTATTCAACAAAAATCTTTTCATGCTGTAAGCAACGCAAATAAAAAAAAAGTAAATTAAAAACTCAAGAAATTATGTGCTGTCTTTTTTGCTGGGATTTTGATTTTTGGTAATCAGAGCGTGCAATAAAGCCTTGTTGCATCTACTATCACTTTCCTACCCTGGCGAGCGAATATCCTAGCAAACAAATTGAAAAATCAAGAGATATTGGCTCAAAATAACAACTATAGCTGAGTAGTCTCCCGTAACCAGGGACCTCAGTACCTGCCGGCAGATGGGCTAATTAACCAAAAACTCTTCAGTATCGAATAAAGGTAGCGTTGATTGAATGTAGTGTGTGAAATTGAAATTTTAGCACAAGAACAGGGACGGTACCTAACTTAAATTTTCATTGACTCACAGTTATTTATGAAAATGATACAGTATGTTTTGATTTTTGAGGAATGTTAGATCGAGGGTTTCTCTGCCGTGCTCTTTCCCCTCGTTGGTTCCAGGTAGAGAACGGTACGTTTTTCTAATAATAAATTAGACGTAACACAAATTTTTCGTTTATTTTACATATCACAACTCACCTTAAATTTCAGTAATATTTGTTAATGTCGGGCGCATATCAAGTAAGTAAAATTGAGTAAATTTTTACAACGTAGGTCCTATTTGTTTTCCATTTCATTTTATAGAAGATTTGTTTAAAAGAAGATATAATAAAAATTCACACCGTTCAATCTTGCTGAACGAAGCCGGGTATGTTATACTACAATAGATTAATGGGTGAATCGACTATCTTGTGTCAAATTACGATGGATTTATTGGTAAAAAGAAGTATCAGTGAAATGCTGACAATATTTTCCGAATTGCCGACTTCAGGTACCTTTTGATATAGCCATTTATTTAAATGTAAAATTTTTGCAGCAGTTTCGCAAAATTTGTCTAGTATCATCAGTGGTATTTTTACCTATTTTACCGGCAGAATAAAAAAAAAAAAATTTGATACTTAGTTTCAACATGATTTTAATTAATTTAAAGATGGGCGCCACTTGAAAAAATTGTCATTTGGCTGATACTATACAGGGTGATTAAAAAATATAACATTAATAAAGGATTGTGACAAAATTACTCCTGTTGCATTTTATTTTATAAAATTTAAATACGAACCTAAAAAAAAACTTAATGTTAATATTTATTCATCATCCGTGTCGCTATCTTCCACTGCTGAATCATTCACAATGATTGGTTCATCACCTTCTTGTTCTTCCACCTCCTTATCCATGTCGCTGTCCTCAACTACCGAATCATTCACAGTTATTGGTTCATCGGCTTCTTGTTCTTCTACCTCCTCATTACTTATTGGAGAAACTTTTGGGCAACCGTAGGTAAAGTAGGATCTGTAACAGGCCGCAATCCGGTCTCTTCTGCTTTCCACCCAAAATTTGTAGGAACTAAACGTTTCGACTGCCGTGCAAGTTTATATTCATAAGCCTACAAGTGACTCCTGAGACAGTGCTGTTTGAAGGAATCCATGTCTCAAATCAAATTGTTGTAATTGCCGCCACTTACGTGTCCTAGCATGAGCCAACGTTTCGCTTACGGGATCGTTATATATAACCCTAATTGTTAGTAACTCGAGATCAAGAAGAAGCTGTTCTAAAAATTCGTCACTAGAACCAAGTTGCTGTATTGTCTGATAATAACTGACATTATCTGACTGAAGGATACGTTTCATTGCAGTGAGCTTCCCCAAACCAAAGAACGCTTCTACAGAATCGCACCCAGTAAAAGTATAAACATCAACAGCAGCCGAAGCTTTATCTGACTCTGAACACAGAGATCGAATATTAAAAAACTCGGAACCACTTGGTTTTTTCTTATGCATATACATATTCTGTTCGGCTAAATGGCTTATGCATGAGGCAATAATTCACACATTTGCATGTGTCTTCAAAATCAAAAACTGATAAAACAACATAGAGTTCAAGTAAGAAATACTTTCAAACTTCCATTTTCTTTATTTTTTGTTATTTATAGCGTTTCGATGCTTCAGTATCTACACCTGTCATTTACCTGAAGACAATAGGTCTTTTCGGAAACATCAGCTGTTTGTTGACATCTTTCTTTTATGAACACGATTGAAAAAAGACAAAAAAGATCAGCTGGTGATCAGCTTTTCCGAAAAGGCCTAATTTTAGATCCTTGAGCAGTAGAAACGTTATAAAACATAAAAAATAAAGACAACCGAAGTCCAAAATTCTCTCTCACTTGAAATGTAAACGTTCCTCAAAAAAAAGTTTACAGAAGATATGTTTTGAAATATTAGTCATAGAGAAATTAAATTAAAGTAATTATAGCTACCATATTGGGCGCCATGTTGAATATATCGAGTTGCCCAAAGGTGACGGATGTCATCATTGATTTTGTTGCAGCCTAATAGTTATGTCCTTTTACTAATTCAGGTATAAAATAAACTTAATACCATAATTTTGAGTTTTCATATAATATATGGTTTGGCAACCAGGGCTGACTCTGTAACGAATAGAGATATTTTCTCTATCTCTATTGACGTCCCCTCACTATTGATTACAAAAAGAGAGAAGAAGACAGGAAGTGCCATAGCGATAGGGATAACGATCTCTATGCGTTACAGAGTTCCAGCCCTGACTACCTAAGTTACTTCATTAAACGTCACCTATAGAACAATTTTACCACTGTTAGATTTTTTGGTTTTGAAATGAGGTTCACAATTGCCTTTGACCCTGCTTTCTCGTACTTTGGAACCAAACAAATATGTATTAAAAGCCCTCCAGAAATTGGTGCTACAAACTTAGAAGCACATAATATGCTGGAAATTATTTTTTGATATTCCTGAGTTGTTTTATTCCAATTTCATGGTAAGAACAACTCAAATATGAGGAGCTAATATTCAAGCCTTGTTCTCCTCGAAAATATGAAGGTATTACATTGTAAAATAAAAGTGAAAACGTTTTGCTACATATAACTAATAGACATTTGAAATCTGTATTTAGATCCTATGTTTACCACAAATAGATACGAATAAAAAGTTTCCAAGAAAAAAGAAAAACACGCATGTATTAGTCGTAGATTGTTACTTAACAGCAATTTCTTCGGTTGTAAATGGCTACGACAATTTCCTACAGAAATCTGTTTTGCATAAGTATCAGTTTTACGGCATAACATCGTCTAAATCTCCTCTGACTTTAGAAGATTGGCATGCTACATAGACGTACAGGAACTGTCCCGGTCGTACCGCTCACGACTCTTCAAAAATCGTTTCTTTGAACTGAATTTCAATGTAAATATCGACCGTCACGAAGCCAGCATTCCGAAATAGGCCGAACCTGATTTTTAACTTGAAATATCTTTTTAATTGATTTCTTTATTAATCTCGACTTCGTGCGTGGAACGCTCGTGTTCACCGTCCATTCAACAATTTCTCCTTCGGAATGAATTAACGTTTCTTTGAGCAAGTTCGACTAATGCAGATTTTCTTTTTTTTATCTTTTCCATTATTTTCTTGTCCTGAGACACTTGAGCGGCGGCTATTCTTTACTTCTAGATCAAAGAAGAATGCGGAACAATTGGTACTCGGATGACGGCTAGAAATCCTAGCCGTCAGCTTAATAAATAAAAAGCGGCTTTCAACGTGTTGATTTTAAGATTAATAGTTGTTGGCTTTCTTAAGTGCAGAAGGTGGACCTTTGGAAGCTTTTCAATGAGAGGAACGTCGATAAGTGATAAAATTATAATTAAATAATTGGACAAATAATTTATTATCCACCTTATTCAAATTGTTACGAAGTTCAACCACCTTGGAACTGATTGTTCCTTTATGTCGTCTGCCCACTTCTTTTGTGGTCTTCCTCTATTACCTTTACAATGTCTAGAGTGAATGATGGGAATATTTCACATTTATCTCGTTAGATGATATGACCTGCAAGTTTTCGCTTAATAATTTGTTACCCACTTTCTAACGTCTCTGAACTTTTCTTGTTTCATTTCCAGTTATTCTTTCAGTATTGTGATCATTATTTCAACTTTTGTCTATTCTTGGATCTTGAAAATAAAAAGCTGATAAAATTAATGGTATTTTTCACACACAGCAGAATCCTGTGATTGACGCAATCAAATGCCTGAAAAATCACAGAAAACCGCTGCGGTGACATTTCCCTCATTCAGCTGAAGGTACAGTCTCTCTAATCTCCAAGAAGGTAAATATCTCATCAACAGTACCTTTATTCTGTTGAGAGTCAAACTGACACTAAGTATATTGTGCCTTTGAATGATTTTGAATTGATTGAATTGGTCGAAAATTAGGTAGGATCGTTTTCATGAAGGTTTGTATGAAACATGTGAAATGAGTCTGGGACTGAGACTGGCAGGAAGGATAGAGGATCAGACTGACATCCCAAATCATTCACCAAGTGCTCAGTGACCGTGCAATAAGATTCCTTCAATCTATCACTGCCTAATCCAGCATTATCTGATTTTTTGAATTGACCTCTAAGATCATGTACAATATTTCCATTTTCTTTAACTTTATTAGTTGCCCCATTCTATTTTTATAATTAAGTTCAAGTTCTTTAGCTGCTCTTATAACACATCTGTAAATATTTCTGAACCTTTTGAGTGAACATGGAAGAAGTACTCACTATCAGCAAACTTTCGAATATGGTGTAAGGCCTTTAAGTTTTTGGATGAAGCCCTCATACCTTCCGTAATCCATGCTTTTTTTTTTGCTTTTTATTTTATAGATAGGAAAGCATTTTTTAAAAACTTGTACTAGGATGTCTGAATTTTTTTCTATAGAATCTGCACAATCAAAAATAATTTGCCAGCTTATTTTTGTGCAAGTATTCTAGAGTTTTTGAAAATTAGTAGAATAATCTTACTTGTTTATATACCTTTTTTGGCATCAGAACAGATTCATGATCTGATCACCCAGTTGAAATTGTGTCATACATAATCAATCAGGAACTCTGAATGACCTTTAATTCACGTAGGTAAATAACTCTGAATGAATTGTAATTCGCGTAGGTTGATCTACAACCGTAGATAAATTAAATGATAATAAAGGATTCCCCAAATGTTCAGTATCAATTGAGTCCGAAAAAAAATAGTATATTGTGTATTTAGGTGGAAAAGTGACACATTCTCGGCCGACGGTGTAGGTTGACGGGCGAGGCGTAGCCGAGGCCGGCACACACCGAAGTTATTCATTGATTCCTTAGCAACTATTGAAACATAATTGAAATACCAGAATATTGAGTTTTGCGACCTGTCAACTGGTCAAAAATGCTGACATTTCTTGTCAATCGCAGAAAAAATATATTAAAATAATCCGAGAGAACCATCTTACAATTCATTGGCAGGCCTGACAGAAGTGACTCAAGTCATTCTTAGAAATCCCAAACCCTACCCGCAGGAGATTTAAATATGCAGATTAGGTATATTTACACTATATAATTCACAGTATGCAATAGAGAACTCAAACTCTCACTCAACATACTAGAACGTCATAGGAGCCTGGGATTCAGAGCTCTTGAACTTCCATAATAATCTGGAGACCCTAGTATTCTAAATTAGATTGTATGGCTCCCACAAGTATCTAGACAGTAAAGACTACAAATTCTACAATAATCTAGATACCCTGCTTGCCTTATATTATTTGTGACTTTTACATTAGATTTCAAAGTATGAAATATGTATATACAATCTATTGTAGAAAATTTTCTGTGAGCTCTATATTGAATTTCATAATATTCTAAACTACAATTCTGCATGGCTTCTACATTAAATTAGATTCTACAAAAATCTAGACACGTCTTGATGGCTTCTGCATTAAAGCTACAGATTACACAATAGTCCATAGATACTCTTTAGTCCCTCGGATAATTAAGATCCGCTTTCGTAGATTCCCTATGAACTCTACATAATTTTTTACAGTTTTTGCGATAATCTAGCTACCAGCTTTACTGGCTTCTACATTAAATCTATAGCTTCCACAATAATCCAGACACTTTTTAGTTGGTCTATACACATTATAGTCTTTGGGATAATCTAGACACGCTTTGTAGATTCTCTATGAGCTGTGCATTAAATTTAACAGGCTCGGCGATAATCTAGCCACCAAGTCTTCATGACCTCTACATTAGAGCTACAGCTTCTACAATAACCCAGGCCCTCCTTGGTAGTTCTTCTTATGCTATAATTCAATTTTATGATTTTTTTTTGATAAGAGTCTTCTCCGATTACATTTCAGATGTAGGAGGATCGGGTTTAAGACTTTCATGATTCTCATTGCACCAAAAGCTTTACTGTGACTTGCAGAAAGAAATTATCCCATCCCACAAGCTTCCAAGAAGAAACAGGTAAATAAAAGTATAGCATTCTCCTGAAAGTTTTTGGTCGTGTAATAAATCTTTCAAAAGAGCTCAATAGTGGAAAATTCAATAGGGTGAAGGAATGTTACTTTTCTAACCGATATCGATTATGATATCCTAAACATGTAGCATTTTCAATTTCTCTTCAAGTATGCTACTTTGTTTTGCTCTGGTGGATATGACTCCATATAGAATTATAAATAAATAAATGAATAAACGACTATCTTTTCTATGCCCAGATTTTATTACCTTGAGTACAGCCTTCTACTAAAAGTTTTTTGGTTCAGGTTTGCAATAATTGTAGTTAATTGATCTAGGAAGGTTTGAGTCAGTACGGCAGGGCCCGCTGTTATTGATTAGAATCCTATAAAAGAGGAGAAAGTACCATCGACTCTAGTTAATAAATCCAATTAATAAATAATCTGAGGTTAGGATAGTTGTTGTTTACTTTTTCGATTTTTCAGTTTCATCATACATCTGTCAT